TATATGCATTTTTTTTTCTTTTTGTTGATAATGATAGTACAGTGGAACTCGGATTCAACGAGCTCGGATTCAACGAGAACTCGGATTCAACGAGATGAGATAGATTCCCCGTTTTTTTTCTTCTTTAAAATCAATAAAAATAACCTGGATTCAACCAGCACTTGAATCTGCGAGCTCGGATTCAACGAGGTCTTCCAGGGTGAACAGCCCCCGCAGACGTGGCTTTGCTCATTTTTCTCCCAGAACGAACTTTATTTATTCCCAGAAACCATCCGTTGCTCCTGCATCGAGAACCATCATTCACTTGGCTGATTGCATGCGACCAATCAGCAGCCTTTTTTCATACAAACACATGTGCACGTGTCTACTCTGGCGTGTGTCGGGGTTGTATGGGAGGCCTGCACACAAGTGGCTGTGTGTGCGTGTCGGGGAGGGGAGGGGACACTAGCGGTCCGGGCGTTGAACGTCGCAGATACAAAGGCGTCACAGTCTTTTTTCCCCTTGGCAACTGATCATTATTACAATGATAAACTAGTCTTGACGTAGATCTACGTAATGAATTGTGCGCTGGTCTATGGAATCAAAAGTTGCCGTATGCTAGGCTCTACACAGCAACACAACTTTTTGGTAAACAATCGAGATGAAACAGGTGTGTGCATTTGAACGAATATCTTTTTTTTACACAGCTCATAATATACAGGCATTTCAGCCACTACTGGAGAATTCTCTTTATACATTACTTGCTCAGTGCCTGTAATCATATTATCTACACAAAACCTAGTGTTTGCTATAACAAACGCTCGGATTCAACGAGCTTTTAGGTCAAGCCCGGCGACCTCGTTGAATCCGAGTTCCACTGTATTAATAATAACAATAGCAGTGTTAATTTATATAGCACCTAATCTGTAGAAGGCTGTCAATACTGTACAGTGTTTTTCATGCTTTAAGCTCCGGTTACACGCAACGATAAATTGTATCAGATTCGTTGTATGAGAGAACTGTCCGTTTCATCGAACTGTGTTGTCTGTTTACACGTTCCAATCTATCATCCAGTTTTCTATCGATCGAGGAGATTCTTTGTCAAAAAGCCACCACGTCTCTTTGCGACGACAGCGATTTGCCTGCTCTTTATGTGAAGGTTTCGAGCTCTGGACCTAATGAATGAAAGGCAAACACTACCTCTAGATCACAGAAGCCCCCTTCCCCTGTACATTTTGATATAACAGAACAGAGTCTTTAGAAAAGGGTGGCCATACTGTAGGCCTACCATGTTGTGTGTAGAACCGGAAGTTTTGACTTGACTGCAGAGATGTGCAACAAACCAAGTGACCTTGATGCACAGCTTTACCCTTGACGATCTACTAAATAATAAAATTGCTGAAATATACATAATAACGCACCAAATCAGGTTCATTGCGAACAACTTTGCTTTTTCTGAGATGCTGATTCCGAATATGAAATCAGTTTTTACGTTCGGTAATTATTTAAAAACTTTTGAGTCCTGAGTTTAATTCTGCGCAGCGGCAAATTTCAAAGTGAATCTACGTCACAGAGCGTCTCCCTCAAATCTGAACATGATCTTACGGAAAATATCAAGCAGCGCTTGGTTTCTCGACAGAGTCCCCAAACCATCGTTCAATCGTCCAAATTTTGTACAATTTTGTGGTTACACCTAACGATTTATCGTGTGATCGCTAGATCGTCCAGTTTTTGTACAATTTATTGTTCCGTGTAACCAGGCCTTTATTTACTGTTGCAATGTTTATTATTTTGTCACACTGTGTTTATGACTTCCAGTTGTGCCAATGTTCTATATTAATTTATATGATTGTGCTTCCTGTTTATGTTTGACGTCATAGCAACTGCAAATTGAATTGTAGATAGGTTGGTCATTGTCAGATGTTGATTGACAAACTAATTTTATTATAAATTTTATTCATCAGCCCTTGACTTTTGTTAAGATGACTAATTTGCCACTACTTTCAAGTCATATAAAACAAACCGCTGATTTTCTGTGGGTGGAAATCATTACATCTGGTATGTTATTCCTCTTGTTAAAAGAAAATGGATTAGGATGCAAAAATGTTCACTTTACATTTCCACTTTTGCTGAGAATGACTTAACAGTGTCCTTAGTGTAGTGGTGAGATGCTTCGCTGTGACAAACAGAAGACCCGAGTTTGATTCCCAAGTGGGGAGAATTTTTATTTTCTATTTTTGGTCTTTCTGCTGGGATGCTGTATCCCTTTCAGCCCTGGTTGGCCCTGTTAGGCAGGGTCGAAGACCGTGCCCACCTTGTATATGATATAAACTGTGTTGAGGAGGGCATATAAAAATACCTTTTCTAAAAAGATCAATAGTTTCAGTGTTCACTGTGAAGCTCATTTTGGATGGTTAAACAGTTGAAGTTGCCCGATACTAGGTCCCTTGAAAGAAGAAAATCACAAAAAGTTTGTTTAACTCTCTAGAGTACAACCCTTGAGACTCAGAGACTAATGTTTAATAAGCCACAACAAAAGAAATTTCTTGTGTCAAGGATTTTACAGGTTTTTTTAAAAGGCTTTTGTAGCTGCATTGGTGCAAGAAAAATCGGGCTGAAGGGCTAGAACCCAGATGGCCGCTGGATCGGAAACTTAAGTAAGTAAAGTACAAGAAAAATGCAGGGAGCAACAACTGCCATTACATGCTGTGTTCGTCGATCTGACAAAGGCTTTAGATACAGTCAGTAAATCAGGACTGTACATGGTGCTTGGAAAAATTAGCTGTCCCCCAAAGCTGCTACTGCTCATCATTTCATTCTACAAATAAATGAAGGCCACCATCCAGTTTAATGGTACAACACCAAACAGCTTCAACATCAATAGCGGAGTAAAGCAAGGTTGTGTCATAGCACCAACACTTTTCAGTGCTTATTTTGCTGTTTTACTGCAACGCACATTAAAAGAGTCACCAGGGGATGTCTTCCTCCACTGGAGAACTGATGGGTCGCTCTTCAATCTTGCTCGACTCAAGGCCAAGACCAAGATCAAGATCAAGAAAACGAGAGTGCGAGACCTTCTTTTCGCCGATACTGCTGCTCTAGTTGCTCACAGTAAATCAATCCTACAAACAATGATGGACCGCCTATCAACAGCATGCAAGGTCTTTAGCTTGGTCATCAGTGTTAAGAAAACAGTCATCCTTACTCAGGAAGATGCAGAGCGGAGCCGTATTTGGCAGAACGACAAGGAACATGAGACAGTGGACAAGTTCTGTTACCTGGGGTCTACCATCAACTCTACTACATCACTTGATGATGAGATCAACATCAGGGTAGGGAAAGCAGCAACAGCTTTTGGAAGGCTGACAAATCGAGCATGGGAAAACCAAAGATAAACCTTTCAAAACAAAGATCAAGATTTACGAAGCATGTGTCCTCAGCACGCCCGTTTATGGATCTGAAACATGGATCTCATACAGCAGACAAGAAAAGGGCCTCAAAATTTTCCGTCTCAGATGCTGCCGCAAGATTTTAAGCATTTCATGGCGTTACAAGGTTACAAATGTTGGAAGTGTTCCCCCAGGCTCACCTCAGAGCATGACAACTATCCTGTGTTTAAAAAGATTGAGATGGTTGGGCCGTGTCAAGAGAATGGAGGACAACCGGATTTCTAAGCAACTTTTCTATGAAGAACTTGCCCAGGGAACGAGGCCAAGATTGAGATACAAAGAAACCTGCAAAAACAGCCTATCTAAGTTTGGAGTTGATGTCAGCACCTGGGAAGAAAAAGCTGAGGACAGGAAAACATTGAGAAAATGATAAAGAAAAGAACTATATTGCTGGAAAGAAGCCTCAGAAACAACCAGGCAGAGAAGCGCCAACGACGAAAGGAAAACAGTGGAAAAATACAGAGCTTCAATCCTTGTCACTGACATGCAAGCACTGCGACAGAATCTGCACTTCTAACACAGGAAGAATTACCCATGAAAAAAGTTGCATGAAGACAACCTGGAGACTGTCTTAAGCTAAATTGATCATCTGCGCAGACAAAAAGAGCCATACATACGGTACTATCTGCATAGACGAAAAGAGCCATACATACGGTACTATCTGCATAGACGAAAAGAGCCATACATACGGTACTCTTTAACAACTTGTCTCAGACGATTATTATTTTTGCATTGATATTATATCCTTTGTCATGCATTTCTTTTTTGTGCCAATTTTTTTTTCTTTTAAAAAAAAATTGTTCCACCTTATCGACTGCTTTGTGGCTTTTGGAAATTTTTTTCTTCTTTTTTTGTGATGTGCTTTCTCTGAGTTCATAAAAAATTCTAAAATCTGAACATTTTTTAGTTGCTTATAACCTTGTCCTTTTGAATATTGTGAATGTCGCTGTTGGTAAATACTTTTATGCATTTATAATCCGTAGGACTTATTTTGCTGTTCATTTTGACACCCATGTAAAGTTCTTCTGTGGTGAGGTTTGTCACTGTATTTTGTAATGTTGTTTCATTTTACAATATAATTTGCCTCAAAAAGTCCAGATTTATTTTTTATTTTAATTGTTTTTTAGATGATGTAGAAGTTGGAAAAAGACTCAAGACATTGTAAATATTTTTTATCATTTATACTTAAGTGTTAGGTTGTTAGGCAGTTCAGGATATGTCAAAATTTTGTCTATCAAAATGTATCGTCGGAGATTATGTCCTGTCATTTTGTTCTTCTCTCTTTTCTTATGTACATTGTTGTTTCCTCCTAACTATGTACTGTGTTTGCCTCATCTTTTTTAGTTATGTTTAACAAATGATTCCTCCTGCCTCCTGACACTTACGCTGTTTCGAGCGCCGTAAAACCTTATTAAAACTAAACTCCCTCCTAAATTATCTAAGTTGTGTTTTATTGGGACGTAACTCATATTTACAGTTATCATTTACTGACAAATGATTTCCTGGTGGCAAGAATAATGTCCACTTATTTTTGTGTTTCTCATTTTTTTTTTTTTACTTTTCCTTCCTCAGATGGCTAAGCCCCCCACCCGAGTGAAGAAGTCGGTGATAATGAAGAAGCGAAGGCTGAAGGTGAAAAAGTGATCATCTCCCACCAGAGGTCTTCTAAGGAATGCCGTGAGCATGCTCTCTGACAAGTGTTTTGTGGATCTGCCGCACTCACCCACCAAAAATGTGTTGTGCTTCATGTGACGCACACTCACGTTTCAACATTATGTTGAAGAACTATTCTATTGACAGAGTGGTGCATCGTATCATCACGTTCATAAGATAAATGCCAAAGTCATTAGTAGCCATTTTGAGAAAATGAGAAAAAAAACAACTGTTTCTTTAGAACAATCAATTCTGGGAAACGCTTTGATTTTGGTACATTGAATTGAATTTGTATCTGGATTATTCTTTTGTGCTAGTGAATATTTGTATTACCAAGCTGGCTCTGCATTACATTTCAGAACCAACAACTCCAAACCGGCCAAAAATGACTCGGGCGGAATTATCATATGAGCCCAAGGATATGACGTACGCGCATATTTATACGGTAAAGCATTGTCTGAATGATTATTTCCGGAGTAATTCCATGGACAGAGTGAGTTGTGAGTCGCCTGTGATGGAACCCTCTGATGTGATGGGGTAAAAGTTGCTTTGTATTTCTGTGATGGGAAAAGAAATCACTGGTCACCAAGAATATATATATATATATATTTATATCATGTGCAAGATTTTTTTTAATACACAGAACACATGATGATACCAGCATTGGTCGTGGGCATTTGCTTACTTTTCGTCTACAAGTCCAAGCCGTGATTGTGTTTGTATGATAGTCCGTTTTGTTTGACTTTGTTTTTCAGTTACATGAATTATTGTCAATGATACCTCGTCCTCCAGTTAATCCTACTCAGAGAAGGCTATGAGCCTTCCTGTTTCTTATGCGCCCTGGCGTTGGTATGATGTTTTCATAGTAATTATAATGCTGCGGCGCGTTGGTGCTCATCATCTCACACGGAGGAGAGAAGTACATCATATGTGAGGCATCGTGGTTAAATGAGACGCTCGTCAAAATAATGAAATCGGAGAAAACGCCATTTTTCTGCTGGTCTGACAATTTTTATAGAATTTATGGTTTTTGGGTCAGCATTTCTCACATGCATGTAAAACGCAGTAGATTGAAAGCACAAAAAATGGAAATCTACTGCTTTCAAGGACTCTCAAGATTTGGAAGTCACCAAGTTTTGGCAGCCATTTTATTGCTAATTTTACCTCTGAAACCAGGCGACCCTATCTTCTTCATAGCAAATATCTGAACGTTTATTCAAGGTAGAAGGGTTTGGGGTTTTTTTGTCTCATGAAAGAAAAATAAACAGGACAGGCTGTAAGATGATTTTAACAAGTCTATATGCCAAAACATTGAAAAGCGCCTGATTTCAGCGTGTCGTAATAGTTCTACTTGCCACTTTGATCTTTTGTTTTTGATGGAAAGAAATATCTCTTTTTGTCTTTTTTTGAGCTTTACTAAATATGTGCCTCACAGATGAGATTTCTTGAACCTGCACGACGATTAGTGTCTAAGATCTTTGTTCATTTAATAGTGAAATAGTGTATTGAGTTGAACTTTAGTTCTGTCTTTTGCCGTCAGGCCATGGTTCAATTGATCTGAGCTTTCACATAAATGTTTTGCAGCGTGTTTTCGTAACATGGTACCTCAGGACATTTTTGTCCTTATTCTTTTCCACTAGAGATTCTCATGAGGTCAGTTTTTCAGGTGTTTCGCACGCTCATAATATAAGTTATAACCGTATAACCTTATGCAGCTGTGAGGGACGTAAAACTTTTACTTTACTAAACTAAGTTTCTCAGGTGTGTAGTGGAAGGTGCAACATACAGGTCCTATTTCTTTCAGGGCTTTTTTTTTGTGTGTGCACTTAATGGCAATTATTGTGTCCATGTGCTTCTCTTTAGCCCTATCAGGAAAAGTTTCTCATATCATTGTGCCATAGTTTAGTTTAGATGACTTCTTATGCAGATCTATGAATAACGGGTGTGTCTGGGAGTTTTTGCTTTGCTTTAGAGCAAAATAATAGTACTCAGACGAATAGTTGTTGTTGGTACTTTTATTTCGTGACTAGAATCTTTCCATTGGTATTCACAGAAAAATGAGTAGGAATAAAACTAATAGCCCTGTTTAGTTTTTGTAAATTTGAATCGCTGCAGAGATTAATTGTTTGTGCACCCCCAAATTCCGTGGCATTTGTAAACTACGTCTTGAATTGTAATATTTAATGAATGTAACAAAATAATGCACTGCCTTGCGTCCCACACTACATTATTGTTGTAATCCATTGGCTTCCGTGGGGCTGAATTTTTAAAGAGCAAACTTTGTTCAGCTGTCATTCTTTGTCACAAAGGTGATCTGATTTCTTTTCTATTCTCCGTAGCTTGCTGTCATTTTCTTTCGAATGAGCTTTTCTCCTGTTTCGTTATCAATTTTAATTTTATATCATCTGTCCTGAGTGTTTATCCTCATTTTCTTCAGGGTTTTCTACTATTTTATGACATTCTTACGTGGGTTTCAGTTTTGTGCAAGATCATGTGTATGCCTGCCTCGTAAATGTTCTAAAGTGTGTCTCTAGGGATTAGAGATGTAACACGTTTTGAAATTTGACAGAAAATCATGTGTTTGTACATGTGTCTGAAGTGGGAATCATTTGAAGTTTTTGTTACTGTTTTTATCTGGACTCTGTCATGACTGTTAACTTCTCACTTTGGGGATTCAGGGTCACACCCACTTTGTGATTTCCTTTATCTACATTCCTTCCTCAAGGGCATTCAAGCATTTATGTGATGTTGTGCAGAATAGATAGAGAAACAAGTTATGCCTATGTACTTTATGTACACTTGTCAATGTAGTTTAAATGAATTGTGGAACTAAGGTGGTGGTTTTTTACACAGAACGTTCCAGTTTGTTGAAGATATTTAGGAAAATCTGTTCTGATAATCAATATGTGTCAAAAAGCGTTTTCAAAATACAAAAGTCCATCTTACGGTCATAAATACTTTACTCAGTTAATCAAAGAAAAAGAGCTAACCTTTGATTCTACCATAAAATGTATTGGTTTCGCTTATTAGAATGTATTGGTTCTGCTATACTACTGTAGTGTAAAGCACTTAGAGCTTGGTTTTGAGCAGGGGTATGCGCTGTACAAATGCTATTTAGTGGACTCTAGTGTTTTCTCAGGATTCTGCTAAATGTAGTGTGTCATAAAAACTAATATACCGATAGTCAAATTTATTATGTATATTTGAATTACTACTTGTACCTTGTTAGTTTAATGTATAATATGTATTTTGATTGCTCAGTGTAAGATTCCATCTTGCGTCACTTTTCAAAATGGCATATGGCAGAGTGTTACCCTAGACAATCGATTTGAATTTTTTGGTACATTCTGTTGTTCAAATAATAGGATTAGGACTGAGTATATATAAAACCATTTGTCTTAATAGCGCATGCTTGTGTTGCCAAAGGAATAAGTATCTGAAATGTGTAATGTGTAATTGAATATTTGCACACCTTGTGTCGTTGAATGACTATAAGAACTGAGTACATTGTTTAACACTGTTTGTTTTAGGAGGATTAAGTGTTTGGCCTTGCAGGGTTAGTTCCCTTTTAAAAAGAAATACTTAAAAAAAAAAAATTTGACCAATCAGTGGGAATACCATGATCCTTTTATAGAATGCAGCACAGAAGCCTGCTGTGTAAGTGATCTAAATTGTGTCCATGGGGGCATAAAAACTCCTGCATTAAAAGAAATGATTTTTTAAAGAACGCAGGATGTCTTTACCTCTGCTGGATCTATTATTTTTGTTTTCGTGTCATGTCGCTAATATCTCGCAGGCAATTAGAGGGCACCACTGGTAGGTTCTGTTTCATTATTTTCTTTCCCACTGCTGTTTTTGTCTGTCTGTCTTTTTTCCCAAGCACAGGGTTATCATTATTGTGTCCACGTGCTTCTCCTCGTTCGAGATGGACACAATCTTTCTATCTTTGTCATCATTGTCTTTATCATCATCATCATCATCATCATCATCATCATCATCATCATCATCATCATCATCGTCATCATCATCTTCTGATCTTGGGGCCAGATTCTCCCTCCGATTCCACGTATGCCTCAACCTCTCAAGGTGGTGGGTGGTTGGAGGGCGCCACTGGTAGGTCCTACAGCTTTACTTGTTGTTTCTGCCTGTTTGTCTTACTTTTCCCCCTCAGAAACAAACTAAATGATCATCATTGTGTCGATGTGTGTCTCTTTACAGACTTTACTCAAACAAATTGCTAGGTGTATTTCAGTAGAGCAATGTCAGGAAGAACAATCCTCCCCCAGGTCTGCAATATCATTTCTCCATTCTCTTCTGTAGCTGGAGTTGTGTTACAGAACGGGGTAGCTAACCGTTTCCCTTGATCACAACCCCCTCCCCACCCCCATCCGTTCTGAACCGGGCTTAGGGCCATGTTTGGCGGAGTTATCTTTCTCTTCTTAAGTCATGCTAATGTTGCGGAAATCCACCACAGGGAGCTATTTTTCGCCTGTATTTGTTTACCTTGTGTTGCTGACAGTGTTGATTGCTTGTGCCTTTTTTTAAATCTTGGATTTCTGACTCCAACTCCACATTTCTCAGTGGGTGGTTGGCAGAGGTGCTGTGGTGTGGTTTGCTCCAACTTTCCTCGGGATTTTGTTTCCCTTTGGTTTATCGATATTTTCGGATGAACCGTGTTTGGTTTAGTTTTAGCGGACTTCTCTGCAGTAGCCATGCACCCCTACCACCACCAGCACCGCCACCAAACCTCCCTCCATCTTTCCATGTTATGTATATATCTTGTAATACTTTGGTAGCGGGCAACTGGAAAAAGCAAAGATTTGAGTGCTCATGGTCACTTTTATGGTAGAACTTCTTTCAAGAAGAGTTCCTAGCTCAATATCGTAGGTCTTACTTTGCAGGGTTTTTTTTAGTTTAGGGGTATAATATAAAACACATGATAATAATAAAAGTAATAATGGTAATAATAATATTAATAATAGTAAAATGACAATAATAGTAGTAGTAGTAGTTGTAGTATCTTGTGCTCTGACAATGGGCAACTGGGAAAGGGGTAGATTTGAGTGGCAGAGGTCACTACTATTATTGTAGAAATGTTTCTCATATGATGTCCTTTGTCTTCTTATGTTGATGTGTTGGTAGGTGTGTGTGTTTTGTAAAATAACTAGAATAATAATTCTAATAATAATGATAAGAAAACCATGATAATAATGTATCATTCATCCAGTCTCAAAAGGTGAGTATAGTTAGAGTTCCTCTTTCTTTCCATCTTGACTGACAATATTGTTTTGTCATCCATGAAATCTGTGAGTTATCCATGACATGCATGACTAACCAGTGTAAGAGTTTATAAATAAATCAGTTTTACTAGGCACTATTGTATCTGATTTCTTGAAGTTCACTTACAATTAAGAAAAATGTTTTAAAGCAACAACAACCTCCCCCCCAAAAAAACAACAAAACAAAACAAAACAACTCACCAAGTGTAGACTGCTTTAGAATCAGAAAAATGTACAACTTTGAAATTATATTTGTGCTGTTTTTAACTACGCTGCCCTTTGAGAATTCCTCATGAATATGCAAATATTAATTGCTTTTTATTATTCCGTGCCAGTTTGGAGAGCTGTTTGTGCGGTGAAGTCTCAACTTTCAAATTGCCGGCATGTGGGGTGTGGTGGTCGTGCATTTCACTTTGGCATGCTGGAAACCCAAGTTTGTTTCCCAAGTGGGGAGAAATTCTATCTTATATCTCCGTCTTTCTGCTGTGAAGTTGTGTCCTTCTCAACCTGGGTTGGCCCTTGAAGGCATGGTTGGGAGTCTACTTCCTAAATGGTCTAGATTGTGTCAATGAGGGTGTAAAAAACACATACCGTGCAGCCTCTCTTCTCTATAATGACATCGTCGGGATCAGAAAAAAATGTCGCTACAGAGAGTTGTTGTTATAGAGAGGCAACCAAAAATATTACTTATGATAATAAGGGAAAAATGGGGACCTGGGCACCATGTCGCTATACAGAGGGAGGATGTCGTTTTATCGAAGGTGGTTATAGAGAGGCTGCACTGTATATTATGTCACTTTCAAATTGAACAACTTTCCTTGTTAAACTGTGCCCACTTGCCCTGACTTAATGAGTATTTTTCTTTTTCTTCTTCGGCGAAGATTTGTGGGATTGCCTTTGAAGTGTGCATTTCTAGTATTGGAACAATTGACGATTTGATGATTTGATGATTTGATGATTTGATGATTTGATGATTTGATGATTTGATGATACAATGAACATAATATGTATGTTTCCTCTGGGTTTTTTTGATTTGCATGCGTGTCCTTTTTGAAAAAGCAGCTGAGAAATGTAATTAAGTTTTTCATAGTGTTTAAATGTCTTTAAGCTTTTAAGTTATGCGCTCTGAGAGGGTAATTTGCATTGAATTGTGGCTTTGAAGAAAATTTTGATCTCCAGTTAATGTGTCGTGGTATGTTAGTAGACATTTGACGCTGCTCCTTTTTTCTTAAACGTCTATTGTCCTTTTCTCTTCGCCTTTTTATCTTTGTATATTACTCTGCAGATCTAGTAGTAACACCTGTAATCCTGGGCACTTACACGTGATTTATTTGGGGTGCAGTTGCTGTAAAATTCTTCCCAAAGTTATACAATTGAAACGAAGTCGCTTCCGAATAGGATTTCATTTTAGAAAGGTACTGCCTGATGGGATGAGTGAATATTATTTATAAGGCTTTTGTCATCTGTTTCTGTACTTCGGACATTTCTATTCTTTGTGTCATGTTTTTGTCTCTATGACCGTTAGCTTTCAGTCAGAGTGACCTGTTTCTTTCTCGTAGGATGATGAACTGAGTCAATTACAAAAAGAGCTTGTGCTTCCTGTTGAGTCCTACTTTGTTTTAGTTTTTGATTCCTTCTTCTTTCTCTAATACATTAGCTTTAAAAATGGCATTTCCTACACATAATAGTTGTGTACCATAATTTTTTGGTAAGTTTGCCGATGTACATGCTTCATTGCATATATTGAAATTTATTAACTTGCTTGAGTTGATCTTCGGTTAGGTAGATCTTTTTCTGGGGTTCCAGTATCTCTACCTTTTTACAGTTCCCAATGGTTAAGCTGAACTTCGGGTGGGTTGATCTTTTTTTCCACTCCCCCGACGACATCAACTCCTCTGTAGTTGACTGCATTATATTGTAAACTTTCAGTCACATCTTGTTGGTAGCTTTTTAAAGTTGTATTTTCCAGTTTTTATAGTGATGTCCGCTTTTCTTTATGTTTATACCATGTATTGAGTTTCAAGTCACACAGTACCTCTTGGAGTTACCTCTAAGTTATGCAATAAACTGTGGCCATTTGTTTTATTGTAAGTGTGAAATGCACGTTTTTGCACGACGACTCAACCAGGTTTGTTTTTTTTTGGTTTTTTTGTTTTTGTTTATTGTTCCATTACATGCTGCTGATGCTGATACTTTTCGATGAAATGTTTCATACTCGTGATATGTTGCCGTCTGTGTGTTATGCTCTTCTTAGCTTTTAGTTTCGGTCTGTTATTTTCACAGCTCTAAAAAGTTTGCCGTTCCTATTGAGATGTCTGACCAATGCAACAATAAATTTTATCTTTTCGTTCCAAAGCCACTGTTGTTTTTGATTTGTACAAAATTTGAATTTGGTTCCCGCATCTATGTTGTAGTGGCATTTTTCTTGGTGTGTGGAGGGTGGGTGGTTGGCAGGCACTCTTGTGTGGTGTGGTTTGCTCCCTCTTTCCTTTTAAACATCTATCGTCCCTCTTCATTTGTTTGTTACTCTCTAGTAACCCCTCTTTGTTGTGGCAGTAACATGACCTATTAGAGTTGCAAGTGTTGTAAATCTCTTACTACCAGTGTGTGTCGTGTAGCTGTTAGGTGCTGTTCTGTTGCAGGCCAGAGATCCGATTTGGAGTCCCAAGTAGGGAGAACATTTTTATTGAGTATCTTAGTCTTTCTGCTGGGGTGTTGTATTCCTATATTATGCCTGAGTTGGCTGTGACAGGCAAGTCAAAATTGTGTTGATAGGGGGTGTGAAAAAACCCAACAAACCTACATTAAAACCCCCCCCCCAAAAAAAAACCTTCTTACAAAAGCTTTCTGTGGATGCAGCAATCTAGATGAATAGCTTTGTTTCTGTTTGCTGGGATGTTGTATCTATCTTAGCCCACGTCAGTCCTGACAGACAGGGTCAGAAGCCCTTCTCTTTAATTATTTAAATTTTGTCGATGAGGCTGTAAAAAAATACCTGCATCAAGAAAAGAAAAACCTACAAAAAAGCCCTCTTGCTAAAGCTTTAGTTAAAGCTATCTGTGGATGTAACAATCTAAAAGAATAGCTTCCCTTCTGTTTGCTGGGGTGTTGTATCTGTCTCATCCTGCGGCGGCCCAGACAGGCTCTTGACTCACTCAATCCCAGGAGTTTTTCCCGAAATTGTACCCAGAAACAGATCATTTTGGCACTTATATAAGGGCCCACTAGTAACCACAAATATAATCCAATTGCTTTGAAATTTTGCATTCCCCAAATTGTACCCAGAAACCGATCATTTTGGCACTTATGGAAGGGCCCACTAGTAACCACAAATATAATCCAATTGCTTTGAAATTTTGCAAAAAGTACAACCTAAGATGGATCTTTAGACGAGCCAAATTTGAACTAAAAAGCTGTAGTAGTTTTGTTTTGGGGTGTTGTACAAATTTGGCATTTTCGGGAGCTTAAAATTTTTTTTCATGGCCGAATAAGCATGAGCAAGCCTACATTGATATAATTCAAATATATGCTTGTGAGTGTCTTAGATCTATATAATGTATATCATGTATAATAAAGACTGTTGAATGCTTTCTTGAATACAAAATGTATGTGTGAGAAAGGCAGAGAGATTCGATTGCAAGACATGCTCAGCTGATCAGTTTGAATAAACGTGCTGAAAGAGCCTTTATAAAAACTGTGATTTCTCCGTGTGCAATGACAAAATTCCAGCACACTTCTAGGCAGAATTGGGCGTGGAAATAATAAATTGACCTTAAATAAAACTTGAGGCCATTTTCCGAAACGAAATAACTAGTATACGGAACAAAACTATAGAACCGAGTTATCGCGAGATATCTCGGTCTCGGGAGTGAGTGAGTGAGTTAATTAAATCATCTAAATTGTCTTTACAGAAGCGTGTAAAAAAACCCACCTACATAAAAAAAATCCTCCTACTAAAGCTTCAGTTAAAGTTCAGAGCTTTCTGTGGAGGCAACAGTTCTAAAAGAGTAGCTTTCTTTCTTTCTATGGCTAGTCTCCTGAGGAGGGCAGAAGCCAGCCGCATGCGGTCAGACAGATCTATATGTGGTGACCCTCTTTGTGGAGCTGGGGATTCCGGATTACCAACGACAATCCGGACGGAACGGCAATCAACACCTGGATAAAACAATAGCTTCACCTGTCTGCTGCAATGCTGTCCCCATTCAGCACTGGCTAGCCTTATCTATCGGGTTCAGGCAGAGCCAAAGCAGCCCCCTCCCAAATAACATGTCACGATACGGTGGAATCAGACGCTCATCAATTTTAGGGCATGTGGAGTTATTGGTATCATCTTAAAGCCTGTTCATTTCTCTTGCTTTCAATGAAATAACTACTCACCTACCTTTAACAGAAGTCAAAATATTTGCAAGTGAAAGAGGTGGGGTTCACCTGGTTGCAGAGGTAAAATTAGCGAGGAAATGGCTGCAAAAGTTGGATGACTTCCAGAGCTTGAGAGTCCTTGAAAATGTAAATCTACTTTTTTTTTTATGCCTTTAGTTGCTTTTCAGTAAAATCCACACAGAAACCTGATTTTAAATAGACAGGTGTTGAGAACATTTTTTTTTTAAATTGCCAAACGAACAGGAAAAATCCGAAAATGCCCGTTTCTTAGATTTCATTATTTCGATGAGCGCCTGATTTCACCATGATGCCTCATATATATTGTGAAAATGATGGGGACTAAAATCACTTACAAGTTCAAAGAGGTCGCAGCAAAAAGACAGGCTGAAATCTGAATTTGTTTAGTATAAAGAAGCACTTAGACGCAATAGGGGTCATTTAGCGCTGGGAAAAAGTACTCGTAAGAAAGACAGACAGAAATAACAGACGGAAAATAAAGAAATAGGACACATCAGTGGCGCCCTCCAACCACCTGCTCTGAAATCTGAAAAAAAAACAACAACATACAATCCACGTCTGAAGCATGGAAGGTGCCAGGATATTCGACTTGCACAGATGACATGAACACCATCATCAAACCGTCAAACAACGAAACGAAAATGTCAGTTCAGTGATTTTAATCATTCCTCAGAAAAATAAAGAATCATATATACATATTAAAATGGTCAATATCATGGTTATTTGTTGATCAAATAAAAATGTTTTTATCATACATCTTTTATTGTTTAATTTGATGAGAAGAAAACGTAGCACATCAAACCTCTTTCATTAATTCAAATATAATGACAAGATCATTTCACGATTACCCCATTTACCTTAACAATGACTCAAAAGAAAAGCATACTATTATAACTATAATCCCAAAAACTTATGATTTACGCTTTCAGAAAGAAATAGTCACATGCGCAGATGTTCAATTTTGGTAGCTTGGCAATCTTGAAATAAAGAAAAAACAAATCAAAAGAATAACAGAACGAACGTTTCTTTGTGCTTGTTTTTTCTTTCTAGAAAATATTTCTGAAAATGAAGTAGAAGCACAATAAAAAGAATACCATCATAAGTAAGCATGCAAATAAAATAACAATTCAGTTTTTAGTAAGAGTTTTACGGCATTCGCAACACAGGTAAGATATATGTGCCGAGATTAGAAGTGTCACTTGATAGTAACAAAGAGTGAAAAGACAGAGGAGAGGTAAAGACAATAGATGTTTGGTAAGAAAGCAGGAGCAAACCACACCAGAGCACCTGCCAACTGCCCACACATACTTCCATCATAATACCATGAGTATTAGGGAGAAAAAAAAAAAAGATATGTATTCTACTAAATAAAAAGCACTGTATAGTTCCGGAACTGATTGAAAAGAAAATCCAAAATATGTGCACTATTCTCTTTCATGTATTTAGAGGAAAAGGAATGTAAAGTGATCTTCAATTATCAATCTGAGAAAGAAAAAAAAACGTAATGAGAAAAGAGCAGATGAAACGAAGTGAATTTGTTTGAAAATGCAAAACATTTATGAGGTATAAAAAATGCTATAAATAAAAAGCTGTGAACAAAAAGAAGAATTCCTTAACTGTTCCTTGCTTAAGTCATAAAGTGACAGGGTGGTGACATAAATAAATAGCTTTAAAATCTGGTCTCTCTATGAGAGGAGGGTGGGAAACGGGTATGTGTCCCACCACCGACCACCCAGGACAGCCTTGTGAAGCTAGGAGAGGCAACAACATCTAAATGCTATTATTTCTATCCTTTTTTTCTTCTTCCTTTTACAATAGAAATATCTTCGTATTTACTTACCAACAAGCTCATAGTCAATGACTGTTACAAATAAGAGCATTATACACAAAAAGGGACATCGGACAGAAAAACCCCCCCTAGCAAAAACAAAGAAAAAACAAAAAAAACAATCCATGGAACAACTCCTTTACAGTTCCCTGCAACCTAACCATCATTTACAAAGAACTCTTATCAACAAGGGAATGTATTATTAACACGGACACATAAAGAGTATAGACCAACAGTAAGGTCAGGATATCAACTCTTAACATCCCAGTAATTTTTTTTTAATGTATGTTTTTACGCACTCGTCGACACAATTAAGACCAATCCATGATTGAAGAACCGGTAGCCTAGCCACAAGGTTACTGACGCCAGCTTGAGTAATCCTGGGGTGAGAGATAGAGAGGCCGAGGAATAGTCAGTGACTGTGAGTATGTGTTGATGGCTGATTAGACAAACGCTGAATTGCCCGCAAGAACATGGAATAAACGGGGTGTCTTTTAGAATGTTGCTGGCAGTCTTGCCTAACCTTTTTTTTAAAACTGCTAAGCTCATCCTAAATGTTATTACGCCCATGTTGACAAAATGTAGGTCATAATATCATCGGCAAGTTGTTAAGAAATACTAAGCCAAAAATTTTTTACTTAAAAAAAAAATCTGTTTCTAAATCTTTGGGAATGGTTGCATATGCCCAAAAAACAATTTGTCAAGATTCAATTTCTAAACGTTGAAAAAAAGCAAGAAAAGAAACGTTAAGTAGGTACAATTGTTAAAATAATGAAACAGTTTTTCTGTTTCAACTGGAAGATGTTGCTTTCTGTGCTTAGAACATTTGAACAGCTTGTCGACGATACAGAAAGCTGGCTGTATTGACCCTGCTTGTAAGGGCTCAGTGGAATAATAAACAACATCTCAGCACACAGACAGAGATACTTGATTGCAAAAAATAATTTTGTTAAAATAATTTTTTTTAAATTCCTCACTCGGAAATTTCAACTAACCTCTTCCGTGAGCAATCATAAAGAGCCTCACCATTACATCAACAAAGCTGCAAACTCTTCCAAACCAAAAAAAATCCAACAAAAACAGTGACACAAAAATGTACTCATGTACTCAGACCCCCAAAGCTAAACACGCTTTTTCAATTACTGGAAAGCAGCTATGCATCACAAATCCCAGATTGGTACAATGATACCCATCATAACATAAACAATACTTTTAAATAATGACTTTCCGCATACTCAGCTGCATGGCCCTCAAGTCTTTTTAAAAAGTATTAGTAAGAGCTTTACAGCTCTTGCAAAACAAATTGGTTCTATTTGCGCGGAAATCAAAACAACTCAACGTTACAAATTTAAAAGTCTCAGGTTACCAATCGACGTTCATAAACGCCCTTGAATACTTTTTATAGGCACAATGGTTAGTGAGACAAGTGCTGTAAATAACCAGAACAAATTTCACTACTGGAAAAAAAAAATGCCCGTCACGAGTATCAAATACTTTCTGACCATTATCATCATAAAATTCAAGAACGGATTATAATGCCATAGTCTAGATAGGGTAAAATTTCTAACAATTTACAGGACCCATTACGATGTAAAAAGTCCATCACTACAACAAAATCCACGACACTGCATACTTCACACACACAAACAAACACACAGTCATGTACAGTAAAATACAGATACGTCGAACACACAGAAATCAAAATCACGCATTGGTTGAACTGTGCCTGCCGTCCCGGGTTTTTTTTTCTTTTTTATCTTCGTAAGATATCCCTCGAACTACCAAAGGGGGTCCCGACAAATTCGAGCTATCTGTTTTAATGAATATATCTTTTGAAAAACGTTTTTTTTTTGGTTTAAAGTAGATGTTTTC